GGGGGGGGGGGGAACTTTTTTGGTTAATCATCCTACAAAAAGTAGTTGTCAATATGACACTTGTTCTAACAAGAATGCATGAAAAATAACATTTTTTGTTACTCTATATTTTTAGAGCAGCATTCCATAAAATATATTATTTCCTACTTATGGAAGAATTGTCTAGGTAGGATTCAATACATTGTACAGAATACATTGTATTTGGTCTCCATATACAACATCAGGAATTTCCAAATGAAATTCCAAATGAACGAGAAAAGGAAAGGCAACTTTGCTGTAAGATCTCTTCAGAAATCTTACAGAAATGTAAAATTATGCAACATGTAAATTCAGATAAGACCTTCAAAATACATTATTTCTTTACTGTAGCATTACTCACTACTTGAAGGGCAAAGATGGTAAATATACCAACAATAAAAATGTTTATACAAAAAAAAAAGTTCAATTGTATTCCTAAGAGACTGTAATCTTGTCTTGCATAGTGATCTTGGAGACCTATGGTCTTACGTAACGCAGTATCAGGATACAGGCTTCCCTCGCTTTATGCAGGTTCTGTATGTGCAAATTCGCTCTTATGTGATGACCCTTTTTATATAAGAAATTTGTTATATGCAAGATAAATTCACTCCTATGAGATTGGTGTGGTGGGAGCCTGCAGTCAACTGCTTTGTGCGGCGCGTTTTGGGAGTGACGCCCACCAAAATATAGTCTCCTGTGTGGATCTGTGCTCCTTGCTGGTTGTCTGCGACACGTGTTTATGTAGTTGCTGTCCTCATTATGATAATGCCCTGTGCTTGCGCGCACTGTTGGCGAGTACTGAAATTGTCTTGTAAAAGTGGTAGAAATGGGCCTGGGAGTCGGTACGGTTGACGTCCTGGAACATATCCCTGTTTGTTACATTGTGAAGTGGGTTCCCTTTATGTGGATTCGAGTTATGTAGGAATGCATGTACAGCATAAAGTGAGGGAAACCCGTACCCCAAATGCTTTGTAGACACCATTACATCATCGCTGCAGTGCCCCCTCTAAGTAGGTGCCCCACTCACCCACCCCTAGTTACATTACTAGCAGATGAATAGCACTAGACCTGCTTTTCAGATAAGGTAATAGTGGCAAAGTCAGAGGCAGTCAGGAAGAGTTCTTCTAACCACTGGACTACATTTTCTCCCTAATTAAGTTTCATGATGGATTAGTTAAATCCTTTACTTGCTACTTTGGGTGTGCATGCATGAATCAGACTCCTTAGTTTCCCTTTCAAAGGCAGTGAAACGTTAGGATTTTTTTTTTTTTAAGGGACTCAGATGCAAAAATTTACCTAAGCTGGACCCTGTAATACTCTCTCTGTTTGTATTCATTCACACACACACTTTATATATATAAATCTGGAAGATATTGGTCAAGGTGAAGAAATTCCCTTACTCTGGGAACAACTTGGGTTCACTTTGAGCCTGTCTACATACTTCAGCCCACCAGCTCCAACTCAATACAAGCCATATAGGGAGAGGTAGTTAGCCATCTTAGTCTGAAGTCACACAGAAGACAAGGCAGAGTTGCATCTTGTAGATTAACTATGTCTGAGATGCATAACAATCTCTGAATTAGTTAATCTATAAGGTACAACTCTGCGCTGCCACCAACCATGTAGACCGGGGCGGGCAATTATTTCGGATGGAGGGCCACTTACTGAGTTTTGGCAAGCCATTGAAGGCCGCATGACAGGCAGGCAGGCAGGGGCAACTAAATATTAATTTTCTAAATTTTTTAGGGGCCTCATGGGCCAGATAGAATGGCCTGGCAGGCCGCATCCAGCCCGCGGGCCACATTTTGCCCACCCTGATGTAGACAGTACTACGAGCCCTGACCTCTCAAAGCAGCTCTCAGCTGCCACTACAATATCTTTATGAACAGCTACAAATTGGAAAATTAATGTTCTGATAAAGAAAAACAATAAAGAGCCTATATACATGAAAATATTCTCCTTCATCATATAATCGCCAGCTGCTCACAGAAGGAAGCATTGTTATTGGAAGCAATATGCTATTTCATGCCTTTTTCTCAGGACTTAAAACTATCACACAGCCAAAGAAAGGGTGGCTGAAGCATGCACACTCTGCCCTCCCTTATCCTTTAAGACATAAAAATTCAGTATTAAAATCAAATTTAAACAACTTCAAATGCTCAGCTGAATATTACGGAACAAGGGTTTAAAGCATCACACTTCCATTCACTTTAACAGGGAGCATCATCCCAGGAGAAATTACTTCATTTTCCTTAATCTGGTTCATGATATTCCCATTTTGTTATGTCAACATTAGTCAAAGTGGCTGGTGCACTAGGCTGACTCCTGCATGCTGATGGAATACAAAAAACTAGCAGTAGGTCACAACGGTGGAGACAGACGGGATCTGCCCACAATTTCTCCTCCTTGTTTAGACCCCACAGTAAGGCCAACTTCCATTGCATTATGATCTATGCACCTACAACCGTGTATCCTGCACACTGTTCAGCATCAAATATTTTTTTAAACATAGCAGCCTCTGATTTTAAATCCCTCAATTCCAGAATGGGAGGTATTCAATTTAAGGCCCTTCAGGCCAAATTTGACAAGAAGCTGAACACTCACTGACTTCAGTAAGAGAAGCAGCAGTCACTTTTCTCAATGGCTCCTGCCTCCCAAAATTTAAACTAGAACTGGATTGGTACCACACTCTTGCAGGTATTTGCCGTGTAGTGCTCTACACTAAATAACAACTTACCGTTACTGCTATATTCTGCTTATATTATCAAACACCTAAAACAGGAGGGAATGGGCAGTCCTATAACACCCGATTCATTGACATTACTCTTGAGTTAACAACTGTATTAATTTGGAATGATTCTGCATGACAGGAACAAAAGAGGACATGGCTGGTCTCTTTGGTACCAGTATTAAAGGACATGCATTTAAAACGGTGTGACCATTTTAATAAGGAAGCTTTCCTTCCTCTGAAGCATTTTTGTCTTCTCTGTGACAGCATAATGCAGCTTATCCTCTATCCTCAGCAGTTCTATTTTTATAAATATGACTCACCTTAGGACTGCTTCTGAGTCACTGTTGCTCCTCCACCTTCTCGATAACAAAAAAACGTAGCAAAATAAAATGGAAATAATGGCCCATTCCTAACACTCATCCCAGAACACTGGAAAATGGGCGTTTCAGTGATTTGATCAGAAGTAGACAGGGAGAGAAACTACAGGCCCCAATAACCTCTCCTTGTGACTTTTCTGTTGCCCCATCCCTAATATTGGTGCAATACACAGAAACTGGAAAAGCCAAATCCTGATCTCCGTGCATTGCAGCTGTTTCAGAGGCATCTCCAAAGGTCAGGCAAGTAGAACAGTTATTTCTTTTACTATGGTCTCAAAAGTGTTCCTTTTTTTTTTTATTGCTGCCTTTTTATTGAAGACATTCACTTAAAAGAAAAAAAAGATGGCAAGAAAGGCAGTGAAGCTTGGCGGGAGACCTGGAGAGACATGTCCCAAGAGAGCTCCCATGTAAAGTCCGGAAAATGCAACATCTAATCTACTTTGGTACTCCGTGGACTGTGAAGGATACAAGTATTTTGCAGATGGTGATCCTGATATGAAGGATGACTAAAAACCTCTCCAGATTCAGTCTTCCTCGTATACCTAAAAGGAGGGGAAGAGAACAAAGCTCCCTTGCCTCTCCACTCACATTACTCTCATTTAGATACCTCCTAGCTGCCTCTTCTCTCTCTTCTTGAATCTAGGAAAAAGGTGGCCCCCTCCCTACACATTGCATTTATGCCGTGATTAACAATCAGCTGATTGTTGGCCGGACAGGGACTGTAACGTGGCTGGTTCTAGACCGCTGTGCTGTCCTCCGGTGGAGCTAACTATCAGCTGGTTGTCAGCACCTGGCTCTCAATTTGCTGATATAGGGGGAGCCCAAGTATGGCACAATTCAGATCTGATCCCCAATCTCAAAGTCATGCATTCTGCCAGCATTGCCCTTATCTAGTCAGCTGCTGATGGTTGGGTTCTGGGATCAGATCCCATCACGCCCTTAAATAAATGTCTCAGTGGCCTAAGATTTCCCTGCTTTGTCAGGGGAAAACGTTCTCAAGTCTGCCTCATCACGGGACTAAAGGGAGTCAAATTATTTTTCATCAGCACTTTCCCCACACCGTTTACCTATTAGCTATAAAAATCACCTTGATTTTTTGGGCCATAGAAGGGAACAGAAAACCAACGCACACAGGAGCTTTGCTGCAGCGAAACGAGACGTAGACACGGTGTGCTCAGGGCCCGAGGGATGGATGATCAAATCCGAGTTCCCCTTCCAGGAGGCTGAGAGGGGAGCTATAAGCAAGGACTGGGGCTAACGGTGAGAACCTCCTGGCATTACAATGTTTGGGGGACAAATTTTGTTTCTATCCAACGCTAATCACTTCCTCTTCATCCTCCTAAGAATGTCTCCATAATTATATTTTGTGTTTGGTAAAGAAAAAAAGGTAAATACTCAATTTGGTGGTGGTGACTTTCCCCACTAGTAATAATTGCTTTTGATTGTAACACAGTAGACAATTCTCTTCTCGTGTGCTCAGTGATGCCTTAGCTATTCCACTTAATTACTAGCCATAAAAAGTGGTCAAGTAATACTAGGCCTTTGCAAACCAAATGACATTTTATTCAAGTCTCATTTTTCTTGTGGGTTCTGTTCATAATTATGCATCTGTTTCCCTGCAGCCATCTTATTCATTCTCACACTCCCCCAAATAATAGAGTTCC